TTTCTTATTGATATTAAAAAAATATTACATTATTCCTCTAGATTTAAAAAACAAATCAAGCTTTCTAGATAAAATGTAATTCTATTGTCTATTGTCTTATATAATCACATATACCTGGTGAAAAACGAGTCAAGAGACTCCTCAGCTTTGTCATAATGATGATAAGAAATTGTTTCTCTAATCAAATCATCTTCCTGCTTGTATACATTACTTGAAATGATAGCTAGAGTTACCTTTTCAAACAGGATATATCTGCCCTTCGCTAGTAGAGGAACGTGGCACTCAGGAAGGCCACCCTTGGTTCTCAATCGAGCTGTTGATAAGGTGAGCCCTGGAAAGAGGCTGCCCCCATAGGCCCCCACCTCAAAGTCTGCGACAGGATCCACGCCCCTCCCACTGGATGCCTTGTGCATCTGCACCGTGAAGGACAGAGTGATTCTATCATGAGCTGAAGATAAGAGCCCGCAGTCGGGAAGATACAGACTTCTCTCTGTGCTCGTTCCTAAGGGGATACTTGGGCCTGCAGTGCATAAAGTTTTGTAGGGAACCAGTCAGCAAACAATGAGGGGAAGGAGGGCATCTTGGTCACCTAACCACTGCTCCACAGATGGCACCTACGTGATGCTATTCTGGTGCAGCGTCTCCAAGGCTGTATTGCGGTCCTCGGTCGTGGCCCTCTTGTCCATGTTGCGGAAACGTTCCATGGCAGACATGTTGCGCTGGATGCTCTGTTTTGGAATGTCTAACTTGGAGACAAAGGTCAAGCAGCCGCGGTCATCATAGTTAAAGAGCATTGGGCAGCAGTCATGGCCCTGAAACAAGATGTCAGTCAGCCCCTGGAGGGCATGTTGCCCACCTACCACCTCTTCAGCAGAATGTTCACCATTACAGGCACCTCTTACTCTTAAAAGCTCTATTTCTTCTAAAAGCCTTTTCTACTTTGTGCTCGTGTAACAGAGCATGCATTGTTCCTGGTCTGGAGAATCACATACAGTGCCCCACAATGAAGAATGAAGAGAAATACTTACAGCAGCCACAACGCTGTTCTCGGAGACAAACGATACACTCAGGAGTGGCAGGAACTCTGTTTTCAGAGTTGAGACCCTAAACACAAGAACGTTTGTTACCGCGAGATGAAACAGACCATGCAGCTTCTTTATAGACACAGAAGACCACAAAGGACCCATTCTCACAGGACTTCTTCAGTATCAACGAACACTTATGTTTAAAAGGAGCCCCATGACCTCAACTTGTAGGAATCTCAAGCATGAGGCGGCCCTGAGGTGACCTTCAGAAACTGAGGCCTTCAGCTCTCTCTGGCCTGTGCTCCGCCCCCTTCTGAGGTCCCTCCCAATTGCTGGTCCCCAGGAAACGCTTGTTCTTCCATCCTCCTTGCCCCTGCACCCTTCTGCCCCCAGTGCAGGCTCTGCTCCTCTTGCTTATCCAAAGTCACTCCAGGTTTTGGAAGCTGATAATGGGATCACCTCCATGAAGCTTTCCTGGACCACTCAGCCTAAAGGGGCTTCTCCTTTCTCTTACCTCCTCGAGTTCTGCTCTTACTGTCACTATCACTCATTGAGTGAATGCCCTAGGCTGTAATCCTTTCCTCACCTGTGCTCACCAGGGCTCCTAGAGGGCTGTGATCACACAGATATTTACCGGCAGCCAGGCACTGTTTGAGGGCCTAGAGCTACCAAGACGAACAAAACCCAGTCTTGGTCAGCCAGGAGTTCATACTTGAATGGGCCGTGTCTATGTGAGCAGGGGTGCGTGTGTGCAAGTGCAAAGTAGTTATTTACTCTTGCATCTGGCAAAGAGGTTCCACAGATATGCCCGGGGCAGACACACTGGTTGATAAATTAGGAGTG